TGGGTAAATGTCGGTCATCCAAAGCCCCAACTTGAGCCGAGTTATTTGCCTCCACTCTTTTATGATCTGACATAGAGACAAACCTCATGGTTGGTTGTGGTTATTTTCACGTATTTAATCAAAAGTAACACATTGTATTATCAAGGAGCGTACTTTTACAATTGTAAGTACGGTAAATAAAGATTGACCTCTGTCCGTTAACCACAGAGAATACACTAAAGTTTTGTGATATAATTATAATTGAATTGAGAGCATTACGTGTATGTGGGAGTATATTCATGGACATTGGATGAGTCGTGGTAACCACTGCACGACTTTCACTGTCACCTAACACTGTGCTTACTCGAGACATAGATTACCAGTCCTGAAATCTCGTATGGCTCCATACTTCCACCTCTTTCTTCCTCTTTGCGACATGACAGCATTATTCATGCATTAATGGTAACAATGGAAAAGAAAGTGACAGAAAAATATCCCTAGAATAATACTTCTCCCCTTAGTAATATAATGTGATGTACCTTTTTGTGAGTCTATGTATTACCATAGACCAGGGACTTGTTAGTTGATTCGATGATTTTGTAAGCGCTATGGTACTTGCTTTTGTTTTTAGCGCTCCTAAATAATCGAGGGTATGTTTATGAAATAATTAGTGATAGAATTTATATAATATTTTCCAAATTCACTGGCAAGCTGTCATCATGGTTTTATATTGATTTTTGATCATAGTTAAATCCACCCTCTGTGACTTACTCACTTTATCGGAGTTTCAAGCATTTATGTGATCACAACATAATATTTTTAAAAGATATCGTTCAAAATGAGCGCTTTGAAATTGAATAATCCTCAGGTATTGCTTAATGACATTAAAGCTTATAGTTATGATTTGGTGTACGACTGCTGAAGATTGCCGAAGTGCATCTCCCTGTTTCAATTAAACTATCTGTACAGGCATAGTCATGAATTAAACTTGCACATCCTTTTATCTGATGCATGTTGCACACGAAGCGTCATTTACTAACTGACGCAAGATTGCGTCATCGACTTTTGACGTGTCATGTGAGACTGATATCGTACGAACTGGTGCAAACAGTGAAATCACAACATAACAGTGAAACCACTGTGCTTAAAAGGTATAGACCAGTTTTGGAAACGCCCCCTCTCAAAAAATGAAATGGAACCAATCAGTGAAAGAATATGTTTTGACTAATACGTGATGATACAAATTTTGCCGAGAAACCGCCTACTAATTGATATGTTTGGTAAATTATCATCCGGACCGGAAAGATATCGCGCACGTGTCGCGTAGTCCCATATACACCTTTCTGTGTACAGTGCTTGTAACTTTACCAAGACTGGGCCAAATTTCTTATCATTTTGATGATTCCAGAACCTTGCAGTATAAACACCAATACTTATATGCTAGATGATCAACCTTTTCTGATCGATTCCTCAACGTTTCTTTCACATGACCCAAACTGGTCTTTATCTTTAATTACTAGCGCATTGATTAGGATAGCGCAATTGAAATGACGCACCGCGTGCAACGGACATTGACTTGCGTCCAATGTAACAAATTGGCGTTTAAAGCCATGTGCACACTAGGTGTTACTTCAATGCGCGATTCAAGGATACTCAACCATAAATGCACATAAAAGCTCCAGACGCAATCAACAGGTAACAGACGCAACTACCTGAAACTAGTCTGCAGGCACAAAAACTCTAATTGGACACTTGAACACAATTGCATAAAGTCTCGAGTTGAGCCCAACTCTGTCTATCTCTGGCTGTGTCAGGAGCAGTTACAGTACAGGGCCTGTACCACAGTCTATGTATAGTATTCTAGCTCAGACTTACCTTTATGCTTTATGAGTAACAAGGGTTTGTGCCTGCAAACTAACCTGTGTGTGCGTGTAATTGGGTTATTACAGACGTTTTCTGTATCCGTGTGCATGTGAAAGAATGAGGGTGCATGGGTGTATGTTTGTTTTGATAAGTTTTACAATATTTGTTATTATGATTTGCTTGTTTGTCTATTTTTGTACAGGGCCTATTCTCACAAGCTTTGATTATCCTGGGGTCCTTCCGATTTTGCTGTTCATTTGTTATGTATTGTTTACTTTGAATTTTAATGGAAAACAAAATGAATTGAATTGATAAACAGATATGAATATTTACGTCTGGGGACCGACCTTTAACGGGCTTTAACGTCACCATCCGAAAGACGTGACTCAGTTTCGAACCGGGATCGCCTGAGTCAGTTTGTAGGCGAAGACATATAAGAGAGCTGACCAAGTGAACGTGCCGCTAGACCAACTCACATCTCCCTGAAGAAGGCTACGATGGCCTAACGCACAGGCACAAGGTTTCAGATTGGTCTGAAAAGGGAAATTTGACTGAGAAGTGGCTTAACAATCTACACAATACGAAAACCTTTGCCCGGCACTTACGTCATTTGGCAAGACGCGGATCCAGGATTTCTTAGGGGAGGGGGCCCAACTTTTTTTTTTTTTGCTCCCGAAAATTTGAAAATCGCGCCGGCCAAAAATGTGCTCAGTGGGGGGGGGGGGGGGGGGGGTACAGTGCACAATTTTTTTTTTTTTTTTTTTTTTTTTTTTTTTTTTTTTTTTTGCTCCCGAAAATTGAAAAACGCGCCGGCCAAAAATTCGCTCAGTGGGGGGGGGGGGGGGGGGGGGGGGGGGGGGGGGGGGGGGGGGGGGGGGGGTAGTGAGCACATTTTTTTTTTTTTGATCCTCAAAAAAATTTCAATTTGCACCCCCCCCTTGAGCGCCAGGGGGGGGGGGCCCAACCCCCCAAAATCGTAAAAATCACGTGATTTTACATGATTTTTTTCTCAAGGGGGGGGGCTGGATCCGCCACTGAGACATTAATCCGACATTTGCCACTCTCAAGCCAGGTGTACATAGCGATCGATGGGATAATAATTAATAGCAGGGTCGTCAGAAAGAAAAGTATCTAGGCTGACGAGGCTTCCCTGTTTTAAAAAAAAATTATGTATAATAATTATATTATATTATTATATTATTATGGAATTTACCACGATTTGGAAGAGGACATAAACTGAAAGCATAAAAATTATAGCCCTGAGGCCTTGTGGTATATCACAATGAGTCGGATATGCCTTTCCTGTATGACATATATCTGTACTGTATCGTACCTTTACTTACACATTGCCTACTCCTCTTTCTCTCTCTCTCTCTCTCTCTCTCTCTCTCTCTCTCTCTCTCTCTTTCTGTCTGTCTGTCTCTCCCAGCCCTCTCTATCTTTCCGTATCTCTCTCTCTCTCTCTCCCTCTTCAAGCTTTCATTCCTTTTGTCTATCATCATGTCTATAATTATATCCGTTTCTCACTTCTCTCTCTCTCTCTCTCTCTCTCTCTCTCTCTCTCTTCATTGGACAGGGTGGATTGACCGAAGCACCAGCAGTGTTATTTAGTAGCCATCGTTGTCCTGTTATTTTATTTTCACAAGTTGAAAAAAACAGTGCCTGTCCTAGAACAACCCATAAACAAATTGATTTTGCAAATTTGAAAGACAACGATAACGTAAAACTAGATCCACAATTTTTGCTACTATTTTGTAACGACTATAATGTTTTAATGGTTTCTTCAATTTTTTTATTTTTTTATAAATAATTTTAAACGATAATCATTACCCCGCTTTCGAGATGATTGGTGCAATACTGCATATGGATTGTGATATAGGGCCATAACACCATTAGATTATGTGAGATACCATCATTTCAATATCGCTGATTAAACAAATCAAGACACCTAACTGAACGACCCGCTGTCCTTCATGTATTTCAACGCGCTGAAATGTTGTTATAGGCTCGTCAAGACATGAATAATATTGTTAAGCCGCAGCTGATTATTTTTATAGTGGCGTATGTGTAGTACCCTTTACATGTTAAAAGATAACTTATAACACAGAGCTCGGAAAATACGCGTATAGGACCTTTATAATATTAATAATTATAAACAAAAAGTGAAACACGATTTCTTTTGTCTTCCGGGCGGTTAACCGCCAAAAGTAATAATAGGTTTAGATGTATCAAATATATACATAATTAGTAATGAAATGCTTAACAAAATTGTAGTAAAATGTGTATAATTCAGTGTGTTAAATGAGGAATTCCACATCCTTACGTGTTTGTGTTTTCGTCCAATGGACATCCTCTATTTTTTTGGGGGGGGGGGGGGGGGGGGGGATACCTCGCTTCAGGGAACGACAACCCCAGCGTAATTTGTAGCAAAGGACTATAGATTTGCTAGCAAATCTAACACAGTTCAAGTCAGTGACATCCTATGAAGTTTCGGATGTTTGCCATTTAAGGCAAAATGCATCGTAGGGTTTTACACCCACCTCACAAAGAAACAAAAACAACCCTGCTAACACAGTGCAGTATCCATTAGGCGACATCTTTATTAATCCATTAGGCAAGCCAAGGAAGACCAAACAATACAAGCAAATACAAAATATTTTTCCAGTTTAAAAGTACAACTGAATTTTCAAATACATTTGCGTCACGTGAGGATGAGCTAATTCATACAAATGGACATAAGCGCCGGGGGTTACGCATTATAGTATGCATGCACGGGTAACGTAAACTGGCTAAAAGCGTGCCGGATAAGAATTTTGAGAAGAAATGAAGACTATTAATCTAATCTTCATCGTGTATCTGCAAATACCTCGTGGTTATGGCCGAACAGAAATAGGGTATCTGTTTTCTCGCTGACAAAATATTGTTCTTCACTCCCTGTATATATTGCCTAAACGAGTAATGGCACTAAACCTCTGTCGTAATGTTACCATGACTACAAGATGAAGTACATCATGAGCTCTAAAGCTATAGCCTTTTGACCAGGTGTAATGGTTATTCTTTTTAATTGCTGTCTGTGAAATTGATGAAAGTACGCCTTATGAATACCGGTCAATGACACGGAATACGTTACTATCTACCCTAGATGACGCTTGTATATTATGTTCGCTTCAGGAAATATATGTTTAATCACAAATAAAATCATTCATGCCATTTGCATAATATTATGGGCGAGGTTACGCGGCCTGGTGAAACAGTCACATTTATCATCAGTTTCTATACAGGAGATAATCACATTTCCAGGCGACCAGCTTTAAACATGGTGCTTCTGGACACTTCACAATATTTGTCAATCGACCGACATATTAATAGAACCAATGGAACCATCTGAAAACTATATCTTCAATCTAATACATCTTATCAAGTCACATGATGTGACTTGTGACTGTCATTATGCATCCATGATTTCAATGCATGCGATAACAAAATTTGATCTGTTTTAATATCTTAATAGACAAAATATGGCAAATATTCCCCCTTTTACGATCATGGGTTTCAGAAGAACTATATATCTTCTGTTTTCTCGTCATTGTTCCTATAATATAACATAACTCCACTTTGTTACTGATAACGCCCATTGAAACGAGACTTCATTTCCATTACGTTGAATTCAGCCTCTGAAGGCAAATTGCCCACAGGACAGTACTTTTTAAAAATTGTAACAGTTTTCATTTTGCAACACCTCCTTGAACGATGTTTCTCTCACAAAGCGCGTCAAAGATCACACCGGTCGTTGACGTAGTCCTACGTTAGGCATAAGACGCATCGCGTGCTAAGGACTCCAGTCAAAAGGCTTCCGTTAACGTGATTGTCGGCGAGCATTCAAATAGCGCACAGATCGAAGAAATTCTGACTGCTCTGGAATTTTGTTGCATTTACAGCTCAGCATATATCTAAAGACAAGTTTGAAGTTTGGATGCTTCGTCGCGTAGATTATAGGGTTTATGCAGCTATTACAAAGCAAGATGGCCGCCGTCCACGGTATAGCCGGGTCGCTGGGCGGGATCATGAGCGCTACACCATGAGGCGTTATGCAGATCAAGAAGGCGAGGACTACGTAAAATAAGTTCTTGGTAATCTCGACCTGTCGTTTGCTCAAACGAAGTTGTTGCTGGCTGGATTGTCGTTTCAAGCTGGCATGCATTGACGAAGAGGATCCCTCCGCTTGCTCGGTCATTGCCTTCATGTGACGTCTGACGTGGAGGTACACTTTCACGTAGCAAACAATAATTATTACGAGTGGGACTGGGTAGAAGATCAGGGTTTGCAGAACGCTGTAGTAGTCCGATAGTGGGTGCGTGGTCTTGTGTGAGCATGTGCTGTATTTGTCGGCGTACCCAAGCTCTCCGAGCCCGATCATTGGGGGCAGCAGCGCGACCAGGAATGGAACAGACCAGATGGCCAGGATCATGAAGGTTAGATTGACCGGGGTGTAAACTCTACGAAAAGTATTCAAACTCTGCGTGATGACAAGCCATCGGTTGATAGCGATGGTGGCCAAGGTGAAGAGACTGCATCCCACGCAAGTAAAACTCACCAGCGCGACAACCACGCACACCCACTCCGGTAAAGGCCAGCCGCCCCGGCTGAGCAGCGCCACCGCGTTCCAAGGAATCGTCATGGCGGTCAGTAAATCGGCAACGGCGAGGTTGACGACGAAAATGTTCGTCACCGTTCGAAGTTTCCGACACAGAATGACGCCCAAGACGACCAGGCTGTTGCCGAAGATTCCCAATGTAGCTATGATGATGAAGAAAACGGAGAGAACGATGCGCTGGGTGTAGTCGTCGAATTGAACGTTCTCAAGGAAATAACGGTGTGAACTGTAGACATTTGGTAGTATTCCTCAGTTGGAGGAATAATCTCATCCGGTAATTTATTCATACCCTCTTCCATGATTAAAATCTTGTTCAGGTTCAGCTAATCCCAAATTGTCCTTGTCTGCAAAGTAACCTGGAAAGAAGAGTGAAAGATTGAAGCAAATCACAAAAAAGTACATAAAATTATTGATTAAACCGTTTCTGAGGGACTTGCGAGACTGAAAAACAAACAAACAAACAACCAAATATAATGATAAATAAATGAATAAAATAAGGCATTAAGAAATTGTTATCCAAACAAAAAAATTGCTGAAATCTTTTGATGACACGTTTCAGGAGCGGAAAATATCCGACTAAAGAGTGTCATATTTTTCAGGGTCCTTTTGGGAAGACGATCGCAACCACTTACGAAGAATCAGCCTATATAGTAAGGCGATTCCAAGTGCCCGGTACATCACATTTTGAAATGATAATATCCAAATGATTTACCATTTTCCAGAATACAAATATCCAAATGTGATTTAAGATTAAAGGTAAAGACCAGTTTCGGAAATGGAAGCTCTGATTACCAATTATGTGAAAGAATATGTTTTGACTAATAGGTGATGATACAAATTTTGCCGGGAAACCGCCTACTAATCGATAAATTTGGTAAATTATTATATCTATTTGGACCTGATAGATATCGCGCACGTGTCGCGTAGTCCCATATACATATTTCTGTGTACAGTGCTTGTAACTTTACCAAGACTGGGCAAAATTTCTTATCATTTTGATGATTCCAAAACCTTGCAGTACACACCAATACTTATATACTAGATGATCAACCTTTTCTGATCGATTCCACAACGTTTCTTTAACAATGTAATCGCATGACCAGAACTGGTCTATACCTTTAAAGTGACTCGGTAACATGGTTGAAGGTTGATGAAAAAAACTGCGTAATTTTTGTATGAAATTTTATTTATTATTTTCCTTTTACTGTACTAACCCTCTGACTGATAACTGATAACATTCTCAAACCACAAAGATTTTTATGGTATTCTTTAAAGGCGTCACTACCAGTAAAATCTCCCAACTATATTTGAATTTTCCCAACCGTTTTTCAATGAAATAATACATTATGATATGTAATGATATAGTTGGGAGAAATATTGAATCGATCAGATCAGATTTTCCAGATTTGTATCATTAACTATGGTCTGTTTTTACTCAAATTTTCAGATTATTTTTAATTGTACATATAACATTGAAGTCACTACCTTAGCACCATTTTCTCTCATCTGAACAATGTTACCAAGTCCCTTTAACTAAGAGATTAAGAACTTTTCATAAAAAAATAGAGTGCTCCCCGTTGAAAACCTCTCATGAAATTTTTCAGGAGCGAAAAAACATTCGACCAAAGGGGTATATTTTTTCAGATTCCTTTGGGGTCTAAAATTTGAAAGTGGGGCTTAATTAGAAGCTCCTGGAAATGTAAATTGGGTTATAATGGGGAAGGAGGTGTTGCTAAGGCCGGTTTCCCTATTTCATCGGTGAACCTCTTTCATGCTTCACAGTACATCTATATAATACTGTATAGACCTCATTATTAATGAATTGAGAATGAATTCATGGATACCCTTTTTATCTAAATTTATGAATGTTACTTCTGTGACTCAGTAGCGCACATTGACTTGAAAAATCTTCAAATTTCATGACTACCCTAAGAGGTAATCACAAGCGGATCCAGGGGTTAACAAAATCCGACCACCCACCCCCCCCCCCCTCCCCTCCACCTCCCTCCCTTTTCCCGTAAAAAAAAACTGACAGCCTCTAAATGAACTCCCCGATTGTTCATGTTTGTTTGCTTGCTTACTTGCTAGTTTGAATTTGTTGAGAATTCGACCCCTTTTTGTTGAATTTACAAAATCCTAGACCCAGGCGCGTACGCAGGGGGGGGGGGGGGGTGGTTTTGGGGTTAAACCCCCCCCCCTCGAGTTTTTTTATGTGTATGTTTTATGTATGTTCTTTTGGAAACCCCCCCCCCCCCTTGAAAAAAATCCTGCGTACGCCACTGCCTAGACCCACCCTGTAATCACCATGATGTTCTCATGTGTTATCTAATTTGAACCTTTGACTGTCTTTTATATCTCTCGGTAGCAAGCTATTTCCTGTCTTTGATCAATGATCCTATCGGTCTACACAATACCAACATACGATGTCACGTGGTTTGAAAAGAAGAATCAAACCTTAAAGCAAAAAGAAGAATATGTATAAATAATTATTATTATTTCAGTATTAAGCTGTAAATCATATTTTTCTAATAGCGGTTCTAGAGGGGCTTAGGAGCTCAATCCTGCCACACGAAAAACCTTCGACCCCCCCCCCCCCAATACAAAATAAACATTGCGAATGAATTTAAGCGAGGCACATTGAGAAAATGAATCAAATATTCAACGAGTCAATGAAAATGTATTCAAATCTATACAAGTTTACCTAACAACTAGCTATTATATTCTTGTACATGTTATTTTATCTGCAATACTAAGTCAGAATGCAAATGGCACACATAAGCTGCTGCTCAGTCGGAAAAGCATTATGCCCTGCCCTACCTTATAACAAATAATTTAAGCACTTTGTATCCTGACTATTAGAATTAGAAGCGATGCAAGAGCCCCCACCCCCCCCCCCCCAAGTAGAAGCAAAATCTTGATTATACATGCAAATAAGAAAGGCGCAATTTCTGTATAGTCATTATGGAATTCGCACTTTTTAATCTTTGTGATACTGCAAATTGATTCGAGAATGATCCTACATCTTTGGTGTTATAAGCAATCATAATTTGAATCTGAATTTGTAGAAAATTACTTCAAGATTTTTCAAACTCAAGATTTACCAAGCTACCGCCCCCAAGCAAAAACACCTTCTAGATTGAATGAGAATTAAAGGATTCGTATACGATCGAAGCACTTTAAAACGACGTCTTCATTATATTTGATTACAATAAGAAAATAACCTATCGAAATGTCATGGATGACAGTTATCACTGTCAACCCAATTGACCTAACTGACCTGCTTATCACAATGAAACTCCTTTCACTATTTTATCGGATTTGTGGTATAATACCCCTTATCCGGTACCCGGATGGAAGCTATGCTGATGAACTTTCCAAACCCACTAATCCGCTAGATAAAAATATCAGGTGTGATAGTTGTGATATCTTCCTTTTATTTTGAGGTAAATGAACGGGGGTATGTTAGCTGACTGTGAGCATGATGATATCAGCCACGTTGAAGCCAGTGAAATAATAATGAAGTATTTAGCGCTATACAACAGACATTAGCGCTCTACAAGAAGAACCCATTATTTGTTTCATTATTATTATTATCATTATTATAATTATTATCATGATTATTTATATTATTATTATTACTACAATTTTCATCATCATAATAATAATTATAATCATTATTATCATCGTTATGAGTATAAAAGTAGTATTAATAGTATTAATATCATTAGTCATAATTATTATCATGACAACGGGTGCATATTGTCTTTCAGAAGGCTTGCTTATCCGAGCATTCCAAATGTTCCTTCATCCGAAGGTTTGTTATTCCGAATGTTGGTAACTCGTAAGCATCTTACCCGTAATATCTATTGCACATGAGATGTCAGTTTGGTTGCGTCAATACATGCGCTAATCACTCCTCACGATGAAGAAAAAATTAAGTGGCCAGCATATGCCAGTATATCAACCTTTACTATTCATGGGACACAATTCTAACATAGCGTACCAATGACGCAACGTCTTTGGCGCAGTCCTGCATGCGTCATTCAAAAGACGCCGTATATGCTGCGTCCACACATTGCGATATTGTTTTTTGTCGGGAAATCGCGATGTGTGAACTTATAACTGTAATGTGAACGCGCCCTAGTAACGAGGCTTCGACCACCGATCCAAGGTAGAATTTGAATTCGTAATTATTTTTTGTGTGAGATAGTATGCTTGTGCACGGTCGTCTAGCAAATGAATAACTTTCTATTTAAAAGATGTCATGTACACTGGATACGCATGATGAAATGCAGTGCGTTCTTCAATAGTGAGACATTTTATAATGCCTCGTGCATGACCTTTGCATTTAGAGATTTCAGTTACGTGTCTGTGCATGATTAACTTTCAGCCAATTAATAATTCATTTACTTGTAATAACACTTTAACGAAACGCAATCAGAAAAAGCACTTTCTAAAATGACATGCAATGCGCTTGCATGCAAAATGTAATTTAATATGAATTAACTCCTGACTGCAAGTCAATCGCAAACTACACGATCTTCCTGCGATTCAACTTTCATTATGTTAGAAACAGAAATCTAAACAACAATCATCTTCCAGATGTAGGTTCTGAATATTGATAAGACTGCCCCCTAAAAAAACCCAGGAATTTTAGTGCATTAAAAGCTTTCTAGTCAGAAAAAAAGCCGAATCGGCTTCAAATGGTAGGCAATCGCACTACTGGTGTAACGTCGCTACGATTCTGAGCCCATTTAGCTATTCCTCCTCAGAGGGAGCGTGAAATCCATTAATATATTGATTTCATTGATTAAACATGTATCATTATTCACTCATAGAGCAGTCCGAATGTACACATCAAATCACTATTTCAAATTCTTTGAAACTCGGATTGTAGTCAGATCGTATAGTGGGCTTAATACGTCAAAGCCAAATATCATCAAATCCAAATCGAATTTGTCGATTAAGCTTCAAACATGAAGAGGGTCATTCTCACGAACTCAGCACGGCGCGCAAAGAATCGTGTTGGCGATGAAGTGCTTTCATTTTGGTTTGTTTGGTTGTTGTATTTTTTATATTTTATCTTTCAAGAAAGCAACGTGTGAATAATTCAGCATTATGGCAATTGGCTGCAATTGACAAATCGAAATATCAGATGAATTTAAAAAAAATTAGGCGATGGGTATAGGGGGTACTTTTGAAATACCTTTGATGGAGGGAGACTGCAATAATCGTTAACATATTCATTTGTACGGGTAGAAAGGGGTAATGCTTTTACCCCAGCCATTTACACACATGA